TCGCTCTCTCACAGATGTGCCGTCGCTTCCCTCTGTCTTTTCTACAAATACTTTCACAGTAACTGCTCCGATGAGATTCTTTCGTTGGTTCCCAAATTGCATGAATTTAAACGTGTTACTAGGTTGGCATTTCAGTCTCACTTTTTCACTGTCGAAACGGTTAAATGTAGCAGTCTCTTCTACTCCAATAGCTTCATGTCTCTCACCTCCCGTCTGTGGAACTCCCATCCTTTTACTTGCTTCCCTGATAGCTATAATCTCCAAATATTCAAATGCAATGTCAATCGACATCTCCAGATGCCTTGATCTATTCCCTGTCCTTTTCTTCATCCTTTTCCTCTATCTCGCCTCTCTGTAACTCCTTGCGTACTAATGGCACTCCCGCCTTGCTTGGGGTGAAAAGCTTTAAAAAAAGTCACTTATCACCACGCATATATTTTAGCGTGACTTTGACATTCTGAAAAATATTCATCAGTGTTCTTGAATTTAAAAATGTTGAAAACCTAACGATATTTTTTTTACTTCTGTTAATAAATTCATTTTACAAAATAAATCCTTACATTTGCAATGTTAAAAGTCCATCAGAGGACGAAACGCGTCGGTAAAGAAAAGTTGTTTTTTTTTGTCTTTATATATAAACGTAACATAGGCTTACGCACATGCTCACATGCACACGCGCATATGCACGCAAAGAGAGAGAGAGAGAGAGAGAAATCAACCTAACATCAATAATAAGAGCACCCAATTAGCGCATAAATTAATTGCATCCAATTTACTATGAAGGTAAAGAAAAACGAGACAAACAGCAATCAATTGCTGAAAATCTCGGACTGAACAATTACAAAATGGTTCATCAATGAGGGTAGATGTGCTAAATATAACATCAATCACCTAAGTTACAAATTTTACTTGTATTAATCATATGTATATATATATATATATATATATATATATATATATATATGAAGAAAAATATACTGAAAAAAACAAAAAAAAATCCTAATATGCGATTATGCTGTTTTAATGTTTAATGTCAACGTCGGACGTTTCGGTCTAATAGACAATCTTCAGGATATATTCATAAAACATAATTAACATAGACCATATACAATTCAACATGAAAAAGATGATGGACATAAAAGCAATACCAATCCAAACAGATAACTGAAATATTTAAACGGAACGCTGATCTTATAAAAGATTTCAGTTATCTGTTTGGATTGGTATTGCTTTTATGTCCATCGTCTTTTTCATTTGCTGAATTGTATATGGTCTATGTTAATTATGTTTTATGAATATATCCTGAAGATGGTCTATTAGACCGAAACGTCCGACGTTGACATTAAAACAGCATATTAGGATTTTTCCTTGTTTTTTCTTCATACTGTCGGATCTCTCTCTCTCTCTATATATATATATATATATATATATATATATATATATATATATTATTTATTTATTTTGTTATCAAAAGACAGATTGTTTCGCTGTATCACAGCTCATGAGTGTAGCTAGACGTCCGGTTGCCACTAGCTAGGATTGAAACCTGCCTGAATTGGCATCAGTCGGGGATTCTGCCACTAAGCCGTTGGCGCACGGCAGGAATGAAAGTGAATTTAAGCGCATTTATTTTTAGATAAACACAGTGACTGAGAGTACTCGATTCGATTTACTGAAGGGTCTTACATTATTAGCAGTAATAGTCACTATTCACAAACTCACACTTCCTCTCCCGAGAGCTCAACCGAAATATATTTTTCAGGAGCATATATATATATATATATATATATATATATATATATATATATTGAGAGAAAGAGATGAGCGAGGAAGAACAAGGAAAAAGATTGAAAACGTGAGATACACATTTATCCACACATACATATGAACACAGCCATACACACACACGTGTGTGTGTGTGTGTGTGTGTGTGTGTGTGTGTGTGTGTGTGTGTGTGTGTGTTGCATCGTGGAGAGAAACGTAGAAATATTATTCGATTTTCTTCGGTGAAAGAAAATACTGATATTTTCTTTACGCCATTGTTTGTCTTGATTTTAGGCCTTAATACATACTTTTCCGTCATTTTGTTTTTAAATGTCATTTTGTCTCCCATAACTTACAGCCTATTTCCTTCTTACCATTCCTCTTTTATTGCTGCTTCAAAGTCGCCATTATCTTCATTCGCATTGCATAATTTTACTTTCTTCCATTTATCTGGGAATGTAAAATTCTTTCATGACTTTCATTCTCTCCCTTTTTATTTCTACTCTCTTCTTGCATTCGCTTTTCATCCTCCTCTTTCCACCATTTTTTCTTCTCCCTCTTCCTATTTTTCTTTCAGGTATTTTTCTTCTTCAGTCTTCTTCTTCTTCTTTATTCACATTTTCTTCACTACTTCCTTCTTAGCCACACCCCATCGCTATTCTTTTTTTTTTCTTTCTTTCTTTCTTTCTTTCTTTCTTTCTTTCTTTCTGTTCTTCTCGGTCTGAATCTTCCCTAT